GGCGGTTGGCAATTCCTGCGGAGGGGATTGTCGATCGGCGATGTTCGGTCGCGTTCGGTCGGAGCGGCGGATAGCGCGAAGCGCAGATCGTTCGGCGATCTTCGGACGCGTTCGGTCGGAGCGGCGATAGCTACTGTCGACGGCGGTAATTCTAATATCGCGAAATATGAAATATTCTGGCGGCTGGTATCGTCGGAACGATGCATTGCGGAGTGCATCGTTACACACTATTGTTTTTAAAGTAGCGAATTGTTTTTACAGCAGCAGTACAATCATAGAGGGACGAGGGAGCGGAACATACTGTATCCACGCATATTACTTCTACGTTAAAAGTGTATGCGTGGATGCAGTGGGTTCTGCCTCCCCTGTGGGGGGCTCCACTATTGTTTTAAATTGAATTGTTTATTAAAGCAGTGAATTTGTATTTTTAAAGCAGTGTTTTTGTGTTTCTAAAGCAGTAATTTTGTTATTTTTAAAGCAGTGACAGATATCTTAACCTCTAAAATCTTGAACTTTAACGCTTAATATCTCGGTTCACGAGGTCGAGCGCCACAAATTTCTTCCGGATTCTTTCATTTTGAGTGAAAACGCGTCGAATGAGCCTAATTAGATCAAAATCGGAGGTGAGGCCCGTATTCTATATAATTACCAATAAATGTTTATTATTATTTCCCATACAGTAGATTATTTCAAATATTTACAGCAATATTTCCAACAATACTGCGAGCAATTCTGTGCTGTATGTACATGTTATTATTTATACATGATTCTTATTGATATCTTACTTACAAAAAAAGGCATGGAAGTGCCTCTCTGATTTCAAGCTTTGAAAATGTTTTCTAAATAAAAATAAGAGATGCGTATTTTTGTACACGTGTCCGGCTACACAGTGAAGAAGCTCTCTTTTTAGGTTAGGTTATTTTATTTCGATTCGAATATCGTCAAAATTATAATAGAAAAAATATTTGAGATAATAGTTGAATTCAAAAGTACTTTATAATTTCAAACAATTTGTTAAAATAAAGGTTAAAGTTCAGATTAGGGTCTCATCCCCCAACGACCTTGATATTGACGTATGTTGTCAAGGTCATGACCCTGAGTGACCTCCAATAGATTTTAGCCGTCGCTAGTTCTTTGAAGGAG